ATTTGAGAACCCCTCTTTCTAACTATGTCTTCCACAGCCACACAGCATTTTCACCTGCCTCTCAGAGCAGTTGCCTTTTTATGATGATGATGACTTGTGTTTTTATATGCTTACAATAGCCAAGAGTTTTTCTGTAAAACTTTTTATAAATATTTCTCAGTGTACATACAGACCTTTGAGTAAATTCTTAATATTATCCTTCCAATAAAAGATGATGTTACAGAATAAATTATCATATGCTTGTTCACTACCTTTCACTAGTTCCAAGCTTAAAGAAGTTAATTTACTGTAATGGTACTGCTGTCGCTTGTGAAAGTGAATTGAACAAGAAAGACTTTGGCCAGTAGAGAAAAGCTAGAACTATTTCTTAAGAATTCACAGCATACTATATGTTTTTGATAGTCAAAAGAAACTGAAGCTCTCAAAATAATGTTCATATTTTAACTCAAGAACAATTTATGGTTTTAAATTATATTCCAAAAAAATCACAGAAACATACTAACTAACATTTTACTGATAAGACAGATCTCAGTTTTTACAATTACTGTTATGCATTCAGGTAGAAACATGGAACTGGCACTACCACTAGCTATATTGATCACATATTGAAGGCCACATCAGTTCCACTTATTTATCTTGCTCTGCAAGGAAGCTGAGAAAGAAGCACAAGATGAATTCATCAACAGCAACCATGAAGTACATGCTGTCACCTCATCACCATGAAGAACACCACTGTTAAAGCAATGGAGTTTGCAAAGTACAACAAAGACATCAGGGTCACCATTTGTATGAATACATAATAAAATTCTGTTATCCTTTCCATCTTAACAGCTCTTGTGGTTGACATCAAACCAGTCAAGTTGCCTTTCTTTCCAGTATAGAATATAGCTTTCTGACTTGTTTCCAAATACCACATATATACAGCAATGTATCTGAAATCCAGTGATGCACTCACAAAGCATATCTGAACTGATTTCTTTCTTCATATAAAGCAAGATGGTCATATTAGCTCTTCCTTCACTCTAGCCTATTACCATCCATGGAGACTTATCTTTTCTTAACATTTATAACAGTCTTGTAGACTAGATACTCTCCATTTCAAAAATGTGTTCACAAGCAGTCTTGACATGTTCTCTAAAGATACTCTGTTAACAGTTGTATGTATGTATTTGGTCCGGTTGGGATGTAGCCCATATGATGCCATGTTTTAGATTTATGATCAAAACAGTGTTGATTACACACCAGCATTTTGGGTGTTGCTAAAGTGTTTTTGCACAGCATCAAGGCCACTTCTATTTCTCATACTGCCCCATCAGCAGGTAGGCTGGGAGGAACACAGCTGGGACAGCTAACTCCAACTGACCACAGGGATATTCCATGGCACAGAATAGCTTGGGTTGGAAGGGACCTTTAAAGGTTATCTAGGCCAACCCACCTGCAGTGATAACATCATGCTCAGTGATAAAACTAAGGGGAAGTTTCTCCAAAGTAGTCACTACTCAGAGACTGGCTGGACATCTGTCTGCTGTGCTGAGTGATTGCTTTTGTGTCACTTATTTCTTTTTCTTTTTTTTATTTAGTAAACAGCCCCAATGTAAACCCATGAGCTTTTCTTCCCTCTCTTTCCCACTTCCAAATCTCTCTCCCAAACCACTGAAGGAAGGTGGGCAAGTGACTGGGTTTTGGCTTAGCTGCCAGCTGGGGTGAACCTGTCACAATGTATAAACATAGAAAACCACTTTAATTCAAGTTACGACTATTTCTTTATAATGTTATTTTCTCAAAAACTCCTGTCTCTCTTCCATAATAACAGTCCTCTTGAACTTGATTCTGTCCTAACCTAGCTGTTTTCATTGTAGCTTTGTCATTATAGCTCTGAAAATAGAGCAAAGAGTTCTGCTCAATGAAATCTTGATTCCCTTTCAAGACAAACAAGACAGCTCACCATTTCTTTTTCTCCAGATTTTAAAGTTTAACAATACAAGGAAAATATGCCAATATAAGATAACAAAATTTCTGAACACTATCATAACGCAAAAAAAGGCACCATGAGATCCCTAGATCTCAACTTTTGATAAATCTTGTTTTACGTCAGATAATCATATTGCCTAAAGCTCTTCAAGTTTCCAATGCTGCTTCACTATGGGCTGACATTACACCCTACTTACAAGCAAGTGATAATGGCTTATTGTTAAAAGCGTTGACGCTTTCTGTATCTGGCTTCACAGATGACCAACAGTAAAGCTAGGAAGACCATGTTTTTAAGATGTCTTTTTAATTTATTAGCAAAATGACAATTCAAAGCATGAGATTCAAGTTCTTTATATTTTCTCTTAATAAAAGCTTAATTTGTTAGTCCTTTATTAAAGCTAATTGTATAAACTACAGGAAAAAAAAAAGTTTTATAAACTCTAGCTGGTGATTAAATTCTTTCTTGTTAGAAAATCCAGAAGCAGACCTCTTTACTTGTTTCTAATCATATTAAATATAGGTAAATGAAAAGTTATATACTCATGTTCTCCAGAAATACAATTCTGATTTTCAATTTTTTCATTTTTTTTTTTTTTTTACTTTTTTTTTTTTATTTTATTTTATTTCTCTATTAGATAATTATCTGAGGAATTATTGAAGATCTGGAGGAAAGTTTAACAGAGGCTTTCATTTAAGTATACATACTTCATTAGCCTTCTATATCCCACTCACATTCATAAGCTGGCCCTATGGAATGTTCCAAAACATCTAACAGGAGATGAAACAGAGGAAATGCCATTTTAGGAAAATTTTTTCTCAAGCTCATGTTCCAATTGTTAGATTTTATACAAATATTAAATGCTGAGTCATATAAGGCAAGCATACATACACGTGTTTTTCAAACTGGTCACCACAAATGACTCATAAGAAAACCACAGGACAGCACAATCATGATTCAGTGACATCTGCAAGAATAAGGTTAATAATAATATCCTAATGGTAAAGAATTATGGGAAAGCTTACTCTTCCTCTGAATAGTAAAACATACCATCAGCTGGGCAGATCCACTACCAATAATTTTCTTAGATGTCACATTATGATAGTTATGCCACAGCAGCACAGATCAAGAGAAACATTACCCGTTTGTCAATGGCAGCTTCCAGCTCAGGATAGCCTACTTTATCAAGCTGGACCTCTGGAAACAGATCTTCAATTAGACTCAAGAATAAAGGTTCATCTTCATCAATCTAGTGAAAATCAGGGAAAATAAACCTCACAGATTAAAACCTATTTTAGTTACTCTAGCATCTTAAAACACAATCTCTAACTCATGCAAAGCTGAGAAAAATTCTGAAAACATAAGGTACCATTTATAGTGATCCTTTAGGTGCTGAACACCCTAGCAGGACGCAGCAGAAGATCATCACATGATGCTTCCAATAATCAAAAGTTATTGAAAATAAACCACTAACATACAGACTAAATTGATCTAAGTAGATTATACCAATAACGTTTATACAAATAGAAAGTTACTTATCAAAGGTGTAAAAAAAAAAAAAAAAAAAGGGAGCAAGGAGCATACAGGAGATAAGTATCAAAGCAACAGAAAAGGTATTGAGGTATTGTTAGCTACTCAGGACAGAGAAGATGATACTAATTACTATGAATATCAAATTATTTCAGGGGAAATATGTAAAAAAAAAAATCAAAATAATTCAAGGTGTTGTGGTTGAACCTGGGCAGGTGTAAAGGCCACATCCAATCTTCCAGTGATCACATCAGATTTAAATTATGTTTCCAAAAATCACACATAGCACCGAAGTGCAGTATATTTAATTTATCAGGCCCTCAGAACTTACTAGTTTGGAGAGGTTCATGTCTCTCAGCACACGCATGACAATGGTAGATTCAGTATCTGTGGGATTTGCTCTTTTTGCTGCTCCTAATGTACGGAGCACTGACAATATATTCCGTAAGCCAAAGTCATAATGCACCTAGAAGATATGCAAAATTCAGGAAAATTTTCCCCAAGTTAACAAGGATGAAACAATTCTAATTCATCATTTAAGAGATGGATTTCTACGAGAAGTGGTACATATGACATAAATGCCTCCTAAACTCCAACAACTAGTCTTTGGCTGTGTGACTATGGATGACTTTGTTCCCCACGTCTGCTACCATCTACTACAGTGTAAGGTGTGACAGAAAAAAGAAATGTAATCACAAGTCTTTGAACCAAGATAAGGTTCCCAAGGACTATTAAGAAATAAACTAGCAGGATTATGTTGAATTCTCTGTGGACTGTGGAAATTGACTTTATTTGAGAAACCTCTAAACAAGCACAGGCAGCACAAAACAAATTCCTCTCAATCCACTCTAGAAAATAAAGAAATACATAAGCCCTTTATTTGCCTCAATCATCATCGTTCATTAAAGCTAAATCTTAATAATAAGCAGTGTTCTGAATGACAGTCCCATTCTTGTACAGATAGCAGAAGTTAATCCTCCAGGACAGCAGAGGGTCGCACTACTAAACTGCAGGTGTCACTCAGCTTCCCTAGCGAACTATGGACTTTTCTATTTTCTTCACAAAGATTCTAATAATTTAAGACATCACATACAGTTTTTCCCTAAGAAAATTTTCCTCATATGAAAATAATCACCTGCTTTGACAGTTGTTCTTCACACAGCTTGTACAGTGTAAAGAATTTCCTTGCCAATACAGCATTAGCAACGAAGCCACAACTAGCCAGTTTGACACGAATTATGATTTGACGGTCAGGAACCATCATGGCCACTGAGCGGAAGTTGATCTTCAAGTTTTCCGGAAGTTCCTGCCGCCCAGCATAGCCTGGATTCTGGAGAGAAGAACAGGCTTTGACCTCAGCCCTACCTTGCACAAGCAGAAGAATCGGCAAAGCAATGTCTAATCTGGTTAGACAAACAAAGCTTTTTGGCTTTAAATCACATGTAAAAATTAATTGCCATGCAGATTTACCACCATATCTCTACAGAGTTTTAGCCTCCCTTACATCCTGGAGTATACCCAACCTTGGTATGAAAAATGTTCCACTTAAACACTTTAAATCTGTATTTGTCTTACAGGTCCAGTTCTTACTGGGTCCTTCTACCTGTATCCCTACGGCCACTTTTCTGTACTTGTAGCTAAAATATACGTTGGAAACCAGAATGTAGCACACAGAAGAAATCTGACATTGAGATAACAACATGTATTTACAATCCTGGCTGCATTTGTTAATTGTGTGTGTTTGCTGCCATTGCAACAAGACCCTGTAAACTGCTTTTATAGTAACGCTCAATGTTCTCAAACTGTCAGCAAGTTCTAAGAGATGAGGAACACAAGAGTTAGAAAGTACATTTAACATGCTAGGTTAAAGCAATTACTGTACAGTCAGCATCAGCATACTAGAAACCTACTAAATACCTACCATAGTAAGAAAAATGCCAAATTCTGGGTTCATTTCCACATTATCTCCATCAGTAAAAAGAAAGCTTTTTTTACGTTCCTTCTTACATGTCAACACAACTGAAATTTGCTGTGCAGCTACTGATAGTACTGGTAAATCAATACGATTGAACTCATCAAAGCAACCCCAGGAGCCAGACTGAGCAAGACCTTCAAAGAGAAAAGCAACTAAGCATCTGACCACTATGATGTTACCTCATTTTTGGTGCAATTCATAAGCCAAAAATCAGGTTAATTTACCTCAGGGGGGGGGAAAAAAAAAAAAAAAAAAAGTTTATATTTGAGGGTTGGGAAAGGGACAAGGAGTAGAGTTTAATACTTTTACAAGCAAGAATTCACAACATTCCCGAAGTCCTCAAGCTTACTTGGGATACTAAATCTTTTGATTACTGCTCCTACTCTCAGTACCTTGAATGTTTTCCTCTTCCTCCCTACCCCTAAATCCCTACAATAAGTCCATGAAAATATGATGGGTTGTCAACAGCTCACTCCACAATAAAATGAACAATGAAGTTGCTTTCACCTGGAAAGAAGTCAGAGGTCAGTCTGTGCCAGAACTGCATTCTTCCTCAAATAGTTAAGGGACAACAAGAAAGAAAAATCATCAACAGAATCACTTGCAACAATACAAGAGTCAAAGACTTCCACTTCATCTCTAATTTGACAACTGCCATGACTAACAGGTATGAATTTCAAGTGCCTAAAAAAAAATATCATCTGTATCTAACTTCAGTGAGCTGTGCCAGTTGGTTTTAACACATATAGTGCTACTCATTAGCTTCAACTAATAAGAACTTTAACATTTGAAAGAGACAAACAACTGAAATCAGATTCCAACACATTCTACGAGTTCAGCAATAAATGTGACAGCTTTTTGTTTTCGTACTGACAGTTCTCCTTCATTATTTTAAGTGCCTTTTTCCATCCTTTCATAAACTGTCTTATGTTTTCAGACATTTCTACTTCTTGGAGACAGCGTTGCAAATGTATTTTGCATTCATAACAAGATATTCATAGCCTGCTTTTATTAAAAGGCTGAAAACTACCTGCTGATTATGCGTTGATCTTGTTTTACAAAGATATTCTTTTTGCATTTTTAACTTTCACATAGTCCATAGAATCATACAATCACAGAACATCCTGAGTTGTAAAGGACTCATGAGGATCAAGTCCCACTCCTTCTCACATCGTTGACCCCAAAACTGCACACAGTACTTCAGGTAAGGCCACTGCAATGCTCAATATAGTGGGACAATCCCTTCTTTTGACCAGTTAGTTACATTGTACTTAATGCACCTCAGGATACCATTGACCTTTTTGGCCATCTTACCTTTGGTCCACATCTTACCTTTGAAGATCCTCCCAAGTCCTCGGAAATCCATCTGGTCTGAGCAGTTGAAGACTACAACATACTTTCCAAGGCACCGTCCCATGTCTTTGATCGTTTCAGTTTTTCCAGTTCCTGCAGGTCCCACAGGTGCTCCACCCATGTTCATGCCTAAAGCTTGAGCCAAAGTGATGTAGCATCTGAAAGGCAACAGTCTATCATCACTTAATGGGCTGCAGTGCAGGGTTCTGTATAGTGCCAGAGGAACTTCCTTAAGTGTGTTATAGGCAAGGTTTAATTTAAGGAGACAAGAAAAACACAGCAATTACATGCCTCTAATTACAATTAAATCAGTACAAAGGAAAACCCTTCACTCAGATTCTCACTAAGGTAATGTTAAGGTTTGTCTCATACATAACATGGAAGAATAGATAATCCTCAATAATCAAAAACCTGAAAGATCAGAAGGGAAGAAAGCAGATACAGAGATGCTGCCTGTTCTAGTTTGCTCAATAGGAGAACTAATGCTAGAATGAG